TTTTTATTTTCAATTAAAAAATTGACCCGGATAATTAAAAACCCACCCAAGTAATTTAAGACCCGCTCCGAAATTATAACCAAGTTATCAAGAGAAGGAGATCAAGAACTAATCATAAAGCAAAATTCAAAGTTTTCTAAAGCCGTGTTAGCATTAAATTCCTTGGAAATGGAAATTCATGAAGGAAAGCTGAGTAATTCTTGAATTGCCAATCAAACCAGGAAGCTTCGGTCTGGTACGAATACCAGTACCAATTGTCGCTTGAAAAATGCAGGAAGTGTTCCAAAAGGTCATAGCAGTATGTGATGCTTTCCCTGAGGCTGCTGAATGTATTATTGATTTTTGATTTTCACAGATCTATTTTCTTGGTTTTCAACCCTACAATCTTTATTTTTCAAAATTTCAGTCATCGAAAAAAGTTATTGAGTTTTGTTTTGTGATTATAAATTCATTCAAAGGTCGCTGGTTTGATTCGTTGGAGTTTGCTAGTTCGATTCGCCGGAGTTCGCTGGTTCGATTCACCGGAGGTCGCTGGTTCGATTCGCCGGAATTGTTGGAGCAGCAGTGAGGGAGAGATGGGTGAGTGGTGGTCAGGTTTCATGGTAGATGAAGGGTCGCTACCTCACTGATTTCGCTGGAGTGTCTCTAGAGCAAGAGAGGTTGAGTTTAATAGCAATTAGAGGTGGCTTTGTATATGGAGCTTCGCCGGAGAAGATGGAGTTGCAACAGTGGTGTTGGGTATATGTTCTTGGGGTGTATGCTTATTGGAACTAGAAAAGAATGAGAAAATGAGATTTATTTGGGTGGGTTTTTAATTATTCGGGTCGGATTATTTAATTGGAAATAAAAATTAAATAAATTTTTGATAGGTTGTTAAGATCATGACACGTGTCCCTCCGTTAGTCCAAAGGGTATACATGCTCCAAAAATTAGACGGTAGGGGGATCAACGTTCTAAAAGTATAACGAGGGGTATTTAGCTACCATTTACGAAAGTTCGGGGGTATATTTGCCTTTTTCCCTTCTTTTAATTTATTGTTTTTGAGCTTCTAAATTAATAATGTGTCAAATATTCCTTTTTCACAACTATTTTACTACTACAACTATTTATCTACTAAAATTATATGTTTTATTATCGAAATTACTATTATCACTTTTTACAGAAAACAATTTGTTGTCGCTTTATTTCAAGTTTCGTACTTATTAAACTAATTATAAATCCTTCTTTTATATTTGTCTATTTTATATTAACATAAATTTGTAATATTGATATTTTTATTATGTAAATTATTAGTTGTCATATTTTAACATATATTGTATCAGTTACTCCCTCCGTCCCATTTTATGTGGCACTTTTCGGATTTCAAGATTCAAACAAGTCTATCTTTGACCGTAATTTTGTCATAAATCTTTTAATTATTTTGAATTATCAATTATTGTGACTTATAGTACTTTTTACGTAGTTTACAAATATATAAATTTCATTTCAAAAAAATTGAAGATTCCATCCACAAATTCTCGGTCAAACTTAAACTGTTTGACTTTCAAAAAATGAAAAGTGCCACATAAATTGGGACAAAGGGAGTGTTAAGTAAGAAGCCCAACATAATTTAAAAGAAGAAAGGCAAATAGCCCCAAATTGGGCCCAAAAGCCCTAAGTGCAGCCCAAATCCAAATCTACAGTTAAGATAGAAACCCTAAACCTATCTTCTAAATCAAAATAGTTGTTGCCTCATCCCCTTTGTTTTTTCTAGTCTTTTTTCTTTTTAGCCGTTGACAGATTCACTAGTCCTATTTTCGTGCAAACCATGAACACTTCTTTAGCTCTTCTCCATTCTCCCTCTCCGTGGTGATTTGACCAACATAAGATGCCAAGAGACTCTGCGATTTGGACAGAGTAAGTTCAGAGATGGATTTTGAATTACGACTAATTTGATTCTTGAAATCCCGCTAAAACTTGAGCCAAGAACCCTAATTCATTCCTATAAATACCAACATTTTGCATTCGAGTTTCGGAAGTTTTTTTGGGATCTCTATAGCAGCATTTGTATTTATTTTTAAGAAAAGAAGCTTTTCTCCCCCCCGCCCCACCGCTATAGCACCTTGAACCATTACTTTCTGCTCTCAAAAATTATCTTTTGATGGAGATCTTTATTGTCATGTTTAGTTATAAAATATGCTACAAATTATATGCTCGCCATGATCGCGCTTTATCTCGATGCATATAAATTTGAGTTTAAGTCTCTTTTGTTCCTCTGTTAGCAGCCTCCGCTGTATTCTCTGTTAGTAGAAATGTATGTATGAGTTTGTTCCTTTTCATCCTGAATATTTAATATTTGGCTATGTAAAAAAAATTTAATGTTAAAGGATCATGGAGTGAGAAGTAAGTTTTCTTTATAGTTCAAATCTGTTGAAGTTGGAATTTAATGTTGTGTCTATAAGGCACGTATGGTTGCTTCATACTTGGCTGCTTCGAGTTTGGTTCAAAAATCGTCATGTATCTTGTCTGATCCTTGCAGTTTAATTTGTATCTCGGAATGTATTTTGTGGCGTGACTTTATTTGGCTCTATTTTTGACTTATTCAATATCGATTAAAGTTGAATTGTCTTACTAATCTCTTTACCCTCTCTTTACTTGCATTAACTTTGGAGCAAAAATAGAGTCCGAATTGAGGACTCTGGCCAAAATACAGTCTCATGGACTCGCTACCATAATACCCACATATAGAGTCTATATCTTTGACTATCCGGAATAGCAAGCAAAACGAGTGAAACTCACTTGGAGTCACCTATGTCTATTTATATCTTTAGCATTTATTTGTTTTTATTGATTTTTCTTAACATGATGAACTTACTTATGTGATTTAGATGTGTTTTTAGTTTTTTTTTTCATTCGAGATAGTCGACATAGGAAAACTGGCCACATTCAAATCTAATTACTTAGTTACCCACAACCTAATTATCGATAAACTATCTATCATATGTGAGCTTTTCCTTTTTTGAAAGAAATCTAGCATTTATTTAAGCTCAATTTGATTTTTTTTAAAGAAGTGGTTTTTTGGGGTCATAAATTAGATTTTGTACTGTGTTTTTATAGCCATGACTTTAGAGACTAATAATTTTTTTTTAAGCAAATGACTTTTTATTTTCTTCTTTTCAAGTTTTTGTCATTCTATTTCAATCAATTTTCAAATGTAGAATGTGTTTCAAGGTGCAAACAAATTTTAAGACATGCACATTAACTTCATATACTGAAACCTTTGTTTTAGTATGCATTTTCGTACCAAATTTTGTACAAACAATTGTCGTTTTAAACAAGTGATTATATATTGTTTTCAAAAAAGAAAAATGCAAGTCAATTCTTTCCAAATATAAAATAGTTTTTCAAATGTTAAAATGTTTTCCACTCATGGTTTTTTTGCAAATTCTTTAGCATTATTTTCTAGTTTAATTAATTAACCTCAGTTTGACCGGTTAACTGTGTTTTACGGATCTTAAACGGATGTCTTACCCCTTTCCTTTAGGATAAATTAGAACACTTACCTAGAATCGTAGAAGGTTAGGTAGACCTTAATGTAGAGTTAATATTACATAACCTTAGTAAAATAGGTATCATAATTTACTTTTCACATAATTAGGTGGCGACTCTTTAAACTAGCATTAAGAATCAAATTAAGAATCACTATATGTTGTACACTGTTTGGACCTCGAGTTAAAATTAGGTATTACACTGAGTATACCCTTTGGCAACAAGGTGAGCCTTATAAACCTAACTATCTAAACCATTTTTGACTGCATAAATTCAACGACAACCAATAGTAGATTTACCTACAGGAAGTGAGACTAGCTCTCAAGTACCACACGTATGTAAAGCATACATGGAATCAATCATAGTGTACCTCCCTTAAAAATGAGAAAGTATTTCACCCATAGTCTTAGGGATAATAATAGAGGACAAATGATACAAAGGCATAGTGGGGTGATGATAAATGATGATAATTCAAGTAAGTATAATATGGGTTAGTATTTCGAGTGGATTGTATACCTTTTTGAAATGCAATCGGTTGGCTAGGAGGAGGCAAGTCCGTAGTAGCAACATTGTTTGATGCATAGCATAATTCACCGGAGAATGGTGCTAGATGCAGATGGCGATGATAAACCAAGAGTGATGGCACTACAAGTAGAGATGTACAAGTAACTGTAGGTTCCTCAAAAGTTGGTACATGTAAGACCTGAGAGGTAGGAGTAAGACCTTAGAGACCTCAAGATGATTACAAGATGTATAATAAGGTTCACTACTAGAAATTCGCTGTTTGCCGATTACAAAATTAGTCGGAATGTAGTCGCAAAATGGGGTTTGCTGATGACCTTCCGACTACTTTACAGTAGTCGGTATCTTGAAGGTCGGAAATTCTTTACCGACTACGGTAGTCGGAAATTATAAAACAAGAATCGACCATAAAGTACCTAAATGACCGACTACTGTAGTCAGAAACTATTAAAATAATAATTTAATAATTAAAACAATGCCGACTACAGTAATCGTAATAGTTGAATAATTAAATAATTAATTAATATATATTCCAACTATTGTGGTCGGCATATAATTTATTTGTTAATCATTTAAGTACTTTTTCGACTACTACAGTCGGTATACATAATTAATTTATTTACTATTTAGGTAATCTGCCGATTACTGTAGTCGGCTATTTTAATTTTCTAAAAAAATTTATATGATATTGCAAACTATTGTAGTCGAAAAAACTACATTTTACTACTGAAAAATGTTGTTTCTTTGGTAGACCACCTACTAAATTAATACTATCATCCATCCACAAAAACTCAACAATAAAATCAAACATCGAATACATTCCTAAACATTCAAATTGCATTCAATTCAATTCAATTGAGTTTAAAAGCTCAAGCATCATCAAAATCAAATCTAATAAGTATTAAGTTGTTATTCAAAAAGGAAGTAAATAGTTCAAAACACGTCTAAATCTCATAGAAAATGTCTAAACAACTATAAAACAATCTACTCTTCATCAGAGTCGGTCCCTTCACTTTCATCAGATTCAGCCATATGTTTCTCCATGAATTTCTGCACTTTAGCAAAGTTAGATTCAAATGATTGAAGTCGTTCAGTAAGCTCTGAAATTTGTCTTCGCATTGCTTCCATTTCTTTCGAAGATTGAGAAGTAGAAGCACCAGACAACAATGATGATGGATGAAACGAGGAAGGTTGTGCTCCAAGCCCGTAAACTCTACCTTTCTTAACACCTCCTGCCACATTTGTCCATATTGATGTAATATCACTAGATGATGTGGAATCCGCATCTGAAGTAGGATGTGCCTGACGCCATTCATCCAAGCCTCTCTGAAATCCAACCTGAAATAAATGTATATGTAAATCAATAATCTTATTTCTTTCAGACATAATACACAATTAAGTAAAAAGAGACGACCATCACAAAGGAGGAAAAGAATTAAACATCTTTCCCTTCAATGAAGCAAAAGTTTCATAGGCATTTCTCTGGTTACAACTTGCAGCCTCTGAACAAATTATTTTAGCATCTGGCTGAAATCGTGCTAGAAATTTTCGACCACGTTAGAGGTGCCTTGTATTAGTATGAAATTAATAAAAGGCCTAAAGCTACTTTCAATGCTCATGGTGTATACCTTACTACAGCTCAAGCATCTCTAAAGAAACCACTATTATAAACATCATATCCTGCACTTTTGTTAATACAACCTTTTATTACCTCATTTCTAGTAAAAGTTTCAAGTAGTTGCACCTATTGATATACAGATAACTGATTTCCACGATTTCCATATTTTAAGAACACTTCTTCAGCCTTTTGTTTTTGTCCAACTTCCCTTTCCCCTAATAGTTGAGAAAAATGCCTTACAAATATAGTAGCGATCTGTTCAGATTAAGTCTGCATCTGGATGTTCTCATCTTGAAACTGAGAATTGTTTTTCGAAGCCTTTTCTATTTGAGACTAGAATGAAAATATTGATTATTATCATTCCCTAGTCTCAACCAAATTGTTTTTCCTCTTTGAATCAACATCACTTCTGTCAAGTAGCTCACCCTTTTAAATTCCTTATCAATTTCTAGTTCCTCCTGTTGTTTTAGCTTATTGTGCCACCTACAACTTCCCTCTAACCTTATTAACCTCATCTAACAAACTTGCAAAATGTTGAGTATGTAACTTTCGTAGCTTGTCATCTCTCTCTACTTGTCATCTCAATTAAGGTATTTATCCTTAAACTAATTCTATCTTTCTTAAATTAACCACTTCATGTTCTTATACTAATTTAAGCTACTAGTACTATGCTATTTGTTACTTAAGCTCAATTTGTATTTTGCTTGTAAAGGGTGTGCTATTGGATATTCAAGAATGGCTAGTGTTAGCTACTTTTCTGCTACTAAATTGGAACCAAATGTTGAAGAATTCAACTCAAAAGAATTGATGACTATGCAGCAACTTCTTTTTTATTTCAACTATGATGTTGAACACACCTTTTCTCATGAAAATCAAGATAAAGATTGTTTTTTGGATCCATTTTTCGATGCAAACAAGTTTATTTTACCCGTTGAAATGAATAACAATCGAGTTTATTTTACCCGTTGAAATGAATAACAATTCTTGTTTCATGCCAGAGTACTTTGTTTTCGATAAACAACAAAAGGTCTTTCAAGACAACTGCCTTCCTGCTAATATAATAACCCCATCGACTCATAATTCTTGTTTCAAGAAATTGAAGATTCAACATCTTCAATTTCTGGATGAGTTGATACATTAGACACCAAGGAACTTGTCTTTGTCAACACTTCTTAACTATACCCTTAAACTAATCATGAGAGTAGCTACTTCATATCTTTTGTCAATTACTACATTAGTCAACTATATTGAATAGTAAATACTAGTCTAAATTGCAGTAAAGATTGCTTATTTGGAGTGGCAGTTAACAAACATACTGACAGTAACTAGAATAACACGTGAGCTACATATTTTATTGAGTAGTCAGAACTACACAAGGAAAAATACTACACAAGTCATGACAAAGCATACTGAATAATAACTACAATAAAATTATACTATAATCGAAGTATAAGCAACATTAGATTATTGCCATTGAGATGAGGCGAATTACAACTTTTCTTTTCTGATTTATTGCCATTGATGATCTAAGATTCTAAAATTATGTTAAATGAAATAATATTGAAGTGTTATAACTTACAAATGTCTCCTCTGCACGTGGCTCTATCCATTCTCCCCTTGTACCATCCTTATTTCTTTTCTTATGCGTCTCCTCAAATACCTTAGAATTAGACACTTTTGCACCTTTTAACTTTGTCTGCAATTAAAGTTATATGAAGTTCAATCACATTTAGTTAAAAGTAAGGAGATTCAATTAAAAAATTACCATTTTTCGTTTGTGGGCTGCGTAACTCATAGAACCTCCGGTGTGTAAAGAGCCACCCTTTACAGAGGCCCGAGCTGCCTTTTCTCGCTCACACTTCCCCTTAAATTCAGGAGTGTTCCATTTCTCCAAAAATTTAACCCATATGTCTGCTCGTAGCCAACTGGGCTTCTGATTATTTTTTCGAGCTACAAACAACATTTCAGTAACTTGTATACGAGCATTCTTCTCAAAAATGGAATTTATTTTATTCTCATAACATGGCTGCCATACACACTTCGTCTGCACCATAAAAAAATGTCATTACATTAAAAATTCAATATTTGATAACTGACATAAGAATAAGTTTTATTTGTACCTTAAATTGATTCCATATTTGTTCTCTGATATTGTCGGGAAATTCTTTCCATCTACCCCAAGCATCATCGAAGAATGGTGTAATAGATTCTGCAACCATGCGCGAGCCAAGATATGATGGCACAAACCTGCATTAAACTTAATTCATGTAAGAAGTACATTCACCAAATTAAAAATAACGTAAAGATAACATAAGGATAACTTACCCATCCTCATCGGGGGTGATAATTAGCCTATGAAAAACATCATATTCTCTAATATCTCCAGCATATTGAGTCTTTGAACAAGCAGGTGTAGTAGTACTACTACTGATCACAGATGGTGATGCTGGTACAGGGCCTCCAATATTTGACCTAGATATACTAGGTGTCGATGATGCTGGAGATACAACTTGAGTCGATGATGGAAGCAGAGATGAGGATCTGCCTTTTTGACTGATATGACAGTTCGAAGCACACCTAGATATACTAGCTTTTTCTTTGGCCAACCAACAACATACTCGAGTTCTATAATCTCTTGAAGCACACCATAATAATCAATATCCCCCTCACCTTTCACCCACACCCCACTATTATTGGTTTTCTTGCCTTTGGACCATTCTTCTGTATGAAATTTGTACCCATTGATGAAGTACTTATACATTATTCTATCTCTATGATCAGGTCCCCAAGAAATATCACGTAAAAATTAGACATTTACGACATCCACGACATTAACTGGATTATGATTCTATATTGAATTAAAGAAAATTTAGAATTCTAAAAATACATATAATTGATCGGCAAATACTTATTAGTATTAGGTAACACATACATGTTCTTTGAACTAGTCTGAAAACCTAGAATAAACAACATCATTCCCATATGTACCAACAAAATAACTGTCCGACAAAATAACAACTTAAATTAGTTAAAGGGATGATGAATTTTTTTAGAAGTAGGTAATATATACATATGTACCTATGATAAGGTTGGACCTCAGGACAATTCAATAATACATGTGTTATAGCTGACTTTAGCTCTATCTCAGTTAACTTTCGCTTTGGAGCATATTTTGGACTTCCTTTTCATGGATAATTAAATATGGAAAAGGGTTGTAACACCCCGTATCCGAAAATAGACCAGATTACAGATTTTTGGTGTTGCAGGTGGCACGCACGGGCACCATCCATAGACCGTAGGAGGACCCATGGTCCGTCTTGCAGGTCCGTGGTTCATGTCAGCAAACTCCCCCATAACTCAGCCAGAAATTCAGCTAAGTGTTGACCCACGGCTGGACCTACGGTCCGTAGGTCAGATCACACACCGTGGTTCGTGTCCGTGGATTGATGCCCCTAAAGCCCAGCTTCAGTCCTGATTGACGGTTGACCAGCATGGACCGTCATTCGATGCACGGTCTGTAGGTCTAACCGTAGGTTAGGGTTAGAAGCCAGTTAGATAAAAATTGTTGAGTGGGTCAACTTCAGATGGTCATAACTTTTAGCACAAAAGGAATTATGTATCCCATGACCTATGATATAATAGATAATTGAATCATCTTTCTAACGACACAGAGTTTGCTAAAATACGACCTCCGAGTAAAGAGTTATGCTCATTTTAGTGAAGCCCTATCGGGCAGATTTGACCGACGACTCCAATCGACGGACCGTCGATTGATCTACGGCCCGTCAGTCCAATCCGTCGGTCACTCCGACAGCAGTTAAGTCAGGGGTCTTTTGGTCTTTTCCTATTTCGTTGGACCCCTAAGATACGTCGTTTAGACCCTAAATCATGAGGTTTAGTTAGTTTAAGCCTAGAAACATAACTAGAACTTACCTTAGTAAAAATCATTAATCATAACTTAGAAAATTAGAAGCAAGAGAGGAGAAAAAGGTCAAGAACCCTAGTTCAAGAACGCAACAAGTTTCCTTCAGTTCCAGCCCTGAAATCGAAAGATTTCTCCATGGAATTCGTCACCAGGTATGTGGGATTTCACTAGTGGGTTCCTTTCGCCCATTAGGTCCCTAGAATTCAGTTAGATTCTTGATTCTATGATTATGAACAGACCTAGGGTTTCTAGAATTTCAACAGATCATCATGAATTAGTTATTTAAATGTTCCAAATTAGATTATCATGTTATTTCTTAGTTTATTGCATGAATTTCAGAACCCTAGCTATGTATTTCTTTAGTTCTTGAATTACACATGCTTGGTCAGAAATTTCAGTATTCAGTTATACATGCCTCAGTTTATGAATACATCATTATCAGATTAATTGTTGCATTCTCAGTTTGCATGTTCAGTTCGAGCTATCCAGTATTTACAGAAATTCAATCATAACCAGTTAACTACTTAATTCATTGGGAGTAGCATAATATCGAGTTGGACTAAGGTTCAGCGTACCCATATAGTCCCAGAACTACGAGCCATGTAGGTGTAAGTCCCCTCTGTAGGCAACATCAGTTTAGTGATCACACTAACATGCCTCTACACCTCTGGCAGGGTATATTGGGTCCTCTCGATGGGGCGTATACATCAGGCTCCACATTTAGCTCATGTGGTTTTATGTCGATTTTAGTAGCTCCCACAGTTCAGTCTGACTCTATTGCATTGACCATAATTCAGTACAATCAGTATTCAGTCTCAACATGTTATAAATTTGGTCATTGCATCAGTTAGCTCAGTATTCAGTATTTTCAGTAACTATATCATATTCAGATTATTTCATTGCTTTATTGCTTTGTTCAGTTATATGTTATTTCAGCTTTACTCTACCCTGCATGTTCAGTACCTCTCAAGTACTGACGCATATGTGCGCTACATCTTCTCGTGATGTAGGTTCAGGTTCTCAGTATCCAGATCACGCTTAGATCGATTCCCGATCTTCAGTTTAGCAGCATCAGTGGTGAGTCTTCATTCTTCGAGGACTAGTGACATGTTTATCTTTATCGCTTTTAGTCTTTAGTTTCAGTTTTGCTAGACCTAGTTGGGGCATGTCCCAACATTTCTAGTCAGTTTAGAGGCTTATTTCAGACATAGTTAGATTCAGCTTAGTATTGAGTTAATATCTTCTTTGTATTAAACTCATCAGTTTTCATATATCTCAGTTATAGTATATGGGTATTCCCCATCTTTTCATTTTTATTTATGATTTAGCTTCCGCATCAGTTTATTATCTTTAGTATGCTCATGATCATGCCAGCAGGGTTAGCTTGGGATCACTTGTGGTCCTAGGTCCCGTGTACGCGTCTCGGGGGTAGTCCCAGGGCGTGACAAGGATGGTGCCAAATGATCGATAATTCCTCCATCGTCATGTCGATTGGATCTATTTCTCAAACATGGCACATCACTTTCAAAATAATATGAATCAAAATTAGACATTTCTTTGGCCCGATATGCTTAACGCATCACTCCCTCTATTTTTTATGGTCCTTTTACTTTTGCCAATAATCTTGTAAAGTGTGACTTTTAGACGATATTTAAAAAAAAAAATTCAAACAAAAAGAAAAATAATTTAAAGTTCTTACCTCTCAAAAGGATACATCCATTTACCTTGAAATGGACCTCCAAGTCGTGCCTCATGCACAAGATGAATAGGGAGATGTTCCATTACATTGAAAAAGCCAGGAGGAAATATTTTTGCCAACTTGTTTAAAGCTAGGCAAATGTTACTCTCCATGTAATTTAGGTTCTCCACCCTCAATGTGCTAGAACACAACTCTTTGATAAAAAGGTTTATTTTTGTGATGGGTTTCCATATTCTATCATGTAAGGACTTGAATGCTATGCGCATCAAAGATTTCATAAAAATGTGACAATCATGGCTTTTCATAGACATCAACTTTCCTTCTTTCGTATCAACACATCTAGATAAGTTTGAAGCATATCCATCAGGCATCTTCAAATTCTTGACCCAATCACAAATCTCTCTCTTCTCATCCAAAGTGAATGTGTAACTTGCCTTGGGCTTCTGAATCTTGTTGTTAAGGTATGTCAAGTACAACTCACTTTGCCTGCAATATTCTTTTAAGTCCATCCTAGCCTTCAAATTATCTTTTGTCTTGTTATTGATATCCATCACAGTATTGAATATGTTGTCAAAAAAGTTTTTTTCAATATGCATGACATCCAAATTATGGCGAAGAAGGTTATGCTTCCAATAAGGTAACTCCCAAAATATGCTCTGTTTTGTCCAATTATGTGTAACGCCATAGCCAGGTATCTTAGATGATGGAGAGTCTGTTACCTTAGGTAAATCCCTAACTCTATGCCACATTTCCTCAGGCGATAAAGTTGCTAGTGGATCTTCAAAATCAGTTTGGTTCTTCATAAATGCACTAGTATATCTCCTAAATTCATGATCCTTTGGCAAGAATTGACGGTGACAATCGAACCATGAGTTCTTACCTCCATGTTTGAATCTGAATGCTTTTGTGTCTTCCATACAACATGGGCAAGCTAACTTACCAATAGTTGACCACCCAGACAACATTCCATAAGTAGGAAAATCATTTATAGTCCACATCAGAGCAACATGCATTATGAATTTTTGTTTATGGAATACATCATATGTTTCCACACCTTGATTCCACAATAATTTTAACTCATCGATCAAAGGCTGCATGTATATGTCAATCAAATTTTTTGGATTGTTTGGACCTGGAATAATGCAAGTTAGGAACAAATATGGACTTGTCATACATAACTCATAGGGGAGATTATATG